GGTTGCATTAATATTAGAGAGAATATGGTCCACTCGGACTCTATGTTCTCAGCCTCCAAGGGAGACTGAGAACATAGAGAACTATGAGAAAAGCACTCCTGGGAGTAGGATTTGCATATATCCCCAACCAAGAGCTCTGCCATAAGCTCCCATTAGACCTTTAGTACTTGCTTGCCTTACTGCTCATCCAGCATTTCCAACACACTACCAGGTGATTATCCATGGACAGCTCAGTCCATGTATTTACCATAATGTCCAAGACATGTCTCAGAGGGTCTAGGTCCATTATTGACCTTCAATCTACAGTATGCTCATGCCAAGGGCACTGATGGACACCCTTATGTTTGAAGGGGGTGATCATAATGGACAATCCTTGACTTGCATAAAAGTCCAATTGTGAGAATGCTTAGCATCCCCTACCCAAAGGCACAGGGATGTGAACCTCTCATACACTGGGTTGAATGGGATTGGTTTGGACTGCGCTATTCAAATTAGGAATTTTCATTTGCTACAAGCAGTTTGGGGGATAAGGGTAACCGTTAAAGAAAGATGAATAAACTGGTTAAAACACCCACTTTACCCAAGATAAGGTGATGCAGTGTTGGACCATAATAATTCAACATGGCGTAACTTTTATGCATGAGGATAAATACTTTTAGGAGAGAAAACATTTATTTTTGTTTTTCTCCCTCTAATGTTACTTTACAGACTGTGCAGGTTTGTTGGCTCGAGTGACTGTTAACAAGCTGGGTGACAGCCTCGGCTAGGCCCAAGACAAAATATTAGGATATAAGCCCGCTGCCCATCCATATGGTTCAGGGTTCCCCCTCTACCCTGGGCCTGGAACCACTGACCTGGTTGTCCCCCCTGTCGCTGAGCGTGGCGGTTAATTTGTAGTTTTCTTTGTGTATAAACATATCACAATATTTAAGAGGCTACAGTATATTTGCAATGAGTTGACAGCAAGGGGAATGAGATATTGTTGTTCACCAGTAAAGTAAAGTTGCAAATACCATTAGTGCCATAAACATTTAGATTTCTGACATTTTTTACATTGAACTGAAATTGAGGATAATGTAGTTTGATAGGTTTAAAGAAATACTTGAAATTGCTAAATGTGACTAGTTATAATTAAAGTAGGAACAAGTCAGAAAAAATGCACATGGAGAAATTTGTGATTTTTGCTTTATGCATTATTGCAATATGCAATATGCAAGTTGAAGATTTAAAATGACTACTTAGGGCCCTAAAGGACAGCTTCTGAGGTTTTAAAGCAGTTTTGCATTTAAACTGCCTCTTTTCATTGTGCAATCTCAGCCAGTTGTATTTGTACACCAGGGAGGGAAAGTGTCACATTCCTACTTATGCAGATAGAATTAGATGAAAGGCAATTCCATCTGCACATTTGTGCTCATGTGCTGTCCAGTGGTAGAAAAATAGGGCAAAGAATTCTCATAAACCCCAGTGTGCTATATTTTGTAATTTTTTTTGTTTTCAAAGTATTAGTCTGCTTGATCACAAAAACCCTGCCCTGAAATAAAACAGAGTCCTCCATCATTATACTGTAGAGGGAATCTTATCCTGAGCAATCTTAGCAGACTGAGAAAGGAGCTATAATTAGAAGTCTTTATTTTACAGTTCTTTAAGTGGAAGGGTATGCAATGGCACTCAGGACAATCAGACCTAAATTCCACCTCTTCGCGTACTGAGGCATTTCTTTTTTAGTGTATAGTGTACCACACTTTCTGGGTTTGCATCTGGCCTGTGGTCCTTTCCTGCATGTCTCTCCCACTCTCTCATACCCCCTTTCCTGTCAGCCGACTGTCCATAAAAACGAGCCACTAGTGCCGTAAAAACTAAAAAAACTTAAACATGAGAAACTGGAGAAATACCAGGGGCTCAGAGAAAAGCTGGAGAAAACCTGGAAGGTCAAGGCATCAGTGGTACACATGGTCAGTGAGGCGCTCGGCTCAGTGACCCCCAAACTTGAAGGAGTAAGATCCCTGGAAATACATCACACATCTCAGTCTAGAAAAGTGCAGTTCTAGAAACAGCGAAGATACTGCAGATGCCTCAAGCTCCCAGGCCTCTGGTAGAGGACCTGAGCTTGGAGGAAAAAAGGGGGAAGAATATATATAATATATCCATCCATCCATTTTCTGACACGCTTAATCCCAAGTGGGGTCGCGAGGGGTACTGGTGCCTATCTCCAGCTGTCTACGGGCGAGAGGCAGGGTACACCCTGGACAGGTCGCCAGTCCAACGCAGGGCAACACAGAGACAAACAGGACAAACAACCATTCACACACACACACACACTCACACCTAAGGGGACTTTAGAGAAGGCAATTAACCTAACAGTCATGTTTTTTGGACTGTGGGAGGAAGCCGGAGTACCTGGAGAGAACTATATAAGATAAATTATACATTATAGTCATAAATATAAGCGTTTATATATATATATATATATATATATATA